GCTGGTTTTATTTTGGAGGAGGTTTCTTTAGGTTGGTATATCGTGATTGGAATTACTATACTGCATGCTCATTAATGTGAGCATTAGGAGTACATCTGAATCTGTGGAAGACACAGCGTCGTTTCTTCAAGGTGAACCAGGGAAGGGATAAGCTGTGGAAATATGTTGGTCAGAGCCCCAGAGGCTCTGTCGGTCAAGTTCTGTCGGTCAAGGAGAAACAAAGCAAGTTTCTTGCTCATTGAAACTATCCTTCAAGTGGTCTAGGAGAAGTGCCTGAAGATATGTGATCCCACTGACAACTGGAAAAACGAAACAGTGCCTAAAGTGGAAACTGACCACTGATATGGAAACACAGCACAAACGTAAGATCTCAGCTTCTCCATATGTGCATTGCTTTTCTTTCACAAATATTATGAACCTGATCAAAATACTGTAGGTTCTTTGATTATGCTTTAATGTTTGCAACACTTTATTAAGGCATAGTAAGAAACTACTCAGACTGAATTGTCAATAAAATATTAACAGTATATATGAGGACAATGTGAAGTTTGTTATTAAGCATTTTATTAATTAGTTCTGGGATCAGTTACTTCCAGGCTATTATTACTTAAATTAACGCCATTAATCTGTGTTGTTATTAAGGATTTAGAATTTGAATAAGATAAGATCACTTTATTGGCCATATACAATTTCTTGTATTAGTAATTTGTCTTTTCTGCATACCCCAGCTTGCTCTCCATGAGAGACACAGACAGGAAGAGAAGCTGGGGGTCAATTCAAGCTATCGATATTCATCGCATCTGTACTGCAGCTACCTCAGTTTTCATGAGAATCCCTAGTATGACAAAACTATAACCCACTTCTCCCAGCTCACAATGCTTATGACATTTCCTTGACAATTTCCAGCATTAAATTGACAAGTGCTAATCGGAAACTCTGGTGGAGGTTGTTTTAAATTTAATTTATGCAATTATTAATTGAATGACTCATTAGTGATCATTTCAAAGTCTAAACCTCTCATAACTCTCACTTCTAGGGATTAGACAGCAATAACAGCTACTGAAATTAAATAAGGATTGTTAGAAGCATAATCATTATTTTTGCTTTTGTAGAGTGTTTTTTTCTCCCAAAGGACAACATTTCATAGAAGAGGAAACCCACTGCATTCAGTACTGAAGTACAGATCTCACCTGTGTGATGGACAGCAACCATTGTGTATCAGCACATCTGCACAGCAGATCAGGTGGAAAGCTAAGATACTGAATTGAATTAAGGGGGAAATTTAAGAAGGTTGGATTCTACAAAGCCTAAAGTAGAATTTAGCCAGTAATGACCAACACAATCAGGATTTATCAGAAAGAGCAGCACCTCCTACAGAACAGTGTTCCTGGTCACCATACTAGGGCACAGGATTGGAAATTCTGGTCCAGAGGTAAGAGTCTCTTTTTAACCCTACTGGCTTAAGGCAGTTAGCCTGGACAGAACCCCCGGGTGCACTGCTTTGCCTGGACGGTTGAGTTCATTAAAGAGCTTTTGTCTTGAGGTTGGAATGAAGCTTATGGTGGACTCCAGGCTGTTTACTTTACCAGCTGTGGTCAGGTGAAGTTCACAGTAACGGCACTAAATTGGTTTTCATGTTATTGAGACCTCACAGGGCAACAGTCCAGCCCAGAAAGTAGGTTTTTATCATCTATTGATGAGGGCTGAACTGATCCAGTTAGAGATTCATATGTTAGATTCTTGACCTCAAAGACTGCAGTAGGTGGCACGTGCTGAAGGGGACTCTTTATTAACACCCATACCAACCTGCAGCTCACTGCTGGCAGCCCACAGAAGCTCAGCAGGTATGAGCGAAGGTTGCTGCTGGGGGGCGCTCACCCTGCAATCTGTGTGGGTCCTAATGCCCCAGTATAGTGACGGGACACTCTACTGTTAAAAGACACCATCCTTCTGATGAGACATAAAACCAAGGTCCCCTCTCCGTTTATTAAAAATCCCAGGTCGTTTCTCAAAAAGAGTAGGCGTGTTACCCCTGTGTCCTGGCCAAATTTCCCCCTGGCCTTTACCAATCATGGCCTCCTAATAATCCCCATCTCTGAACTAGCTTCTTCACTGTTCTTCTCCCCACTGAGAGCTGGTGTGTGGGGGG